AATAACTATCATAGCTATTTTAAAATTCCACCCTCAAGGCAGGATCCAGTTGCTACAGCAACCCTAGCTCTAGCTCTGCTGGGAATCCAGATTACCAGTTTGCTCCCTCTACCTACCTCAGGCAGCCAAGAAGGGTCCTCAGGAGGCCAGAAGCTGCTGCCACTAAGGGGAATACCCCTATGTTCCAACTCCAAAGCAATGACTAACTAGAGAGGCCCGAGGTGATTCTCTCTGTTCAATGTGACTGCCTGATGGTATAGTTTTGTTCCAGGTTAATAATTTTATTATAAACATGAGCTTACTTCTTAGTCAAATTGGCTTACAAAATCTGTTTTGTACTCACTTGGCTCCATCAAAGCACAGAAAGGTAACATTTTCATTCAGTTTCAGGCTGAGCTAATAAAGCAGTTATGAGTCTTTGCTCCACAGGTTCAGACAAACCCCTAATAGACAAGATTGCACTGGAGCTAAGTGGCTGGCCTTGCCCTCTGACATGGATTTGGAAGAGCTTCTGGTGTCTTTAGGAAACCCAAACAAGGGAGAGAGATGGCCACAGAGCCAAAACAACTGCCAGCCAGAGAGACAGCCAAAAGGAGAGAGAGAGGAGAGAGGAGAGAGAAGAAAGAAGAGAGAAGAGGGAAGAGGAGAGAGGAGAGAGGAGAGAGGAGAGAGGAGAGAGGAGAGAGAAGAGAAGAGAGAGGAGAGGAGAGAGGAAAGAGGAGAGAGAAGAAAGAAGAGAGAAGAGGAGAGAGGAGGGGGGGAGAGGGGGAGGGGGAGAGAGAGAGAGAGAGAGAGAGAGAGATGCATGCTGTTTTCTGTCACTTCGGTCTGGAGCTAAGGTTCTCAGCTCTGCAAGACTTCTCAAGTACTCACACTTGGGCTTTATTTTCCACCTTACTTGTGCACTCACCTGTCATTCCATTTGGTAAGCTCAACCTATCTGGTCCACCAAGAGCTTACCTGGTTTCCATCCACAACAGCAGCTGCTCCAGGACATTAAGCAATGTTTGGACGAAGGGCAGAGGACTGGCTAAGGATGGGGGTCTTTGGTGCATATCTCAGGGAAAAACCTGGGGTCACAGTTAGGAGACCCAACTTCAGGTCCAGCCCCTTCATTTACTGACTTTGGACACATCATCACTAAAAGGTGAACTCCATGAGGGCAGGCAGTGTTGCCAATGACTGGTCACTATGGTGCTTAGAATGGTGCTTGGCACATAGATTGTCAATAAATGTTTCTAAAATGAATGATCTCTGCCTTGATGCCCTCATTTATAAAAATGGATAGGTAAGAATTGTCTCTTTCCATTAGGGGTTTTGTGAGGCTCTAACAAAGTATGGACGGATGTCTGTTTTAAATGTTTAGGGAAAGGCTATTTACCTAATAAGCAAATGTAAACCATCAAGATTGTTACCCAACCCAACTCAGATAACAGACAAGGTACTTCAGAGGTCAGGGCTTCACTCATTTCCTTAGAGCTCTTAAAGAAATGATTACAGTTAAATGCCTTCTGGGTCCCAGGTGCTGGAGCTGTACTGCAGGTTGCCTATCCAATATCCATTCCACCAGCATTCCTTACAAACAGACCCTGCTTTTGTTTGAGCAACAATGTGCCCTACCCCTGCCTCCTTACAGCTACTGTTGCTTGTACCACCCAGCTGTAGTCAATCACATAGAACTGCAAGTCCAAAGGTGGAACTTCCGGGAAAGTTGTTTAAAAGATCTTTGCCTTTTCCTCCTCTTCCTTGGAATACAGTGAGAGGCCTAAAAGTGTACCACTATATCTTGCAACTGAACAAACACACACGCTAAGGATGGTGGGCAAGCACCTGAGTCCTAGATGAAACCCTGAGCTACTTCCCCAGCCTGAAATGCCTATCTCTGAACTTCCTGTTGTTTAGGAAAATAACCACCTATTTGTTCAAGCACTATAGTCAGATTTCTGTAATAAGCAGCTGAACAAAATCCTAAATGACACAATACTGTACTTAAAATAGCTCATTTATGAAATACACATTGCCAATTTTACAGATGAGAACATGGAAGCTATAAGTGAAGGAAACTGTCCAAGGCCATATGGCTGAGTGACAGACCTGGGATTTGATTCCAGGCCTGTCTGACTCCAAGACCGTAGTCTTTCACTTTTGCCATACTCCCCAAGGGAGAAAAAAGGAACAAAAGTCATGTTTCTCTCTAACGACCCTGCAGGAGGATTTAGAGGGTTTGTAATCCTACCAAGTGCCAAGCAGGTAGGTGTGGGGATATAAGAGTGAATCAATATGAACCAAGTCCGAGGAGCTTATATTTTAGAAGACATAGAATAAGGAGTAAATACAAGTCAGGGGGTGATAAGGAATAGGGAAAATTAAGCAGGATGAGGAATTTTCTTTTTTTTTAATCTATCTTTATTGATTTCAGAGAGAGGAAAGGAAAGGAAAGGAAGAGAGAGAGATAGAAACATCAACGATGAGTCATTGACCGGCTGCCTCCTGCACACCCCCGGCTGGGGATCGAGCCCACAACCCGGGCATGCGCCCTGACCGGGAATCAAACCTCGATCTCCTGGATCCTAGGTTGATGCTCAACCACTGAGCCACGCCTGGCTGGGCAGGATGAGAAATTTTTTAATAGGAAGTTGAAGGAGTCTATGAGGTGACATATCCACCATTTTCTCCCCCATCTTTAAGTGATGATGAGAAAGAGAAAATAAAAGGATCAAGCAAGCCTTGTGGATATTGGAAATGAGGCACACGGAAGGGCAAGTGCAGAGCCCCAGAGGCAGCAGTGTGTTTGGTGGACCGGCAGGCAGCCAGTGTGGCTGGTATGAAATGATTGAAGGGAAAGTGGTAGAACAGGATTTGTGCTGTGGTAAGGAATTTGGGCTTTTAATCTGAGTGAGACAAGAAGTCACAGGAGGGTTTTGTTCAGAGAACAGATCAAACTTATGATTTGACTTCTAGGCCAATGAGGGGAGAAGAACAAGGAGGGAGGGTAGAGGTGAGACAGGGAGGCCAGATAAGAGGATGCTGAAACAATCCAGGCAAGAGAAGCCAGGAGCCTGGACCAGACTGGTGTTCAAAGTTGGAAAGTGCTCATACACTGAATCCATTTTGAAGGCAAAGCTGACAGGATTTGTTGATGGACTAGACATGGGAAATGGGAGAGAAAGTGAAGACAAGCATGAGTCCAAGCCTTCAGCTAAACAAGGAGCTGCTATTGTCTGAAGTGGGGAGGACTGCAGCAGGACCTAGATTATTTGGGTGCTAGAGTAGGATCAGGTTGCATTTAGTTTTGGACAGGTTTAAGCTCTGGTACTTACAGAGTGAGCACTACCTCCTCCATTCAGCCTCCAAGACACCAGCCTCTCAAGTTCCCTCCTATTTCACTGGCCACTTTCTCAACCTCCTTTGCTCCCTCTACTCTAAATGACTACCAGGTATCTAAACAGAGGTGTCAAGAAGTCAGATATAGCCAAGTACAGAGTATTTTGAGAAGAGGGGAGGGAGCAATCAGCTTGTGTCACAGCAAATGACAGCTGTAGACAGATAAGGGTAAGAACCGACAAGGGGATTTGGCAAATGCAAGGTCACGGGTGACACAGATCATGGAAAAATGGAATTGGATTACTCCTAGTGGGAAGAATAAAGGAAACACATACTGTCTAGAATCATTGTAGGAAAAGCTCCTTCCTTTAGAACAAACCATAGGCAAGATCCTTTTTCTTCTCCGTATCAGGGAAGTTGCTAAGTATATGCCAAAGCCTGGGCGTAACTCATTCCTAAATAGACAAGGTGAGAGGGAGTAAAGGTGAAAAAGGAGACATCAATTCCTTCTGGGAGTGAAATGCCACCAATCTCTTTGCCTGAAGGTCACCCACACCACTCACTCACTAGCCTTGCCCCACAGGACTTTTAAGTATATTCCAGATAGAGCTTCACAAGATATGGCATAATGAATATTTATTATGATTGTTTTAATTAAAAAAATAAGCTCAAAAGTCTCTGGGTGATAAGCTGAAATAAAAAGTAGTATCTGAGTGTTAGACACCTTGCTGGCATGCAGCGGTTCCCTTAATGCAGGCAAACGTCCTGCAGAAATTTCCACATTATTAAATATCGCCTCCCCTTTTCCCAGAACTCCCTACTGAAATGAGGAGGAAACTGAGGCACACAGGTAAAGGGACTGGGCTGAGGTCAGACTGCCAGAAGAAGCAGACAGGAATTGGACTCAGGAAATCCGGATAGTTCTACCCATAATGCTACCCAGGGTACAGTTCTGTGGTTACTGCCCCACAAGAGAAAAAGTCAGTATCTTCTTCCAAGTAACCAGTAGTGTCACATCTGTGGGGCAGCAGGAAGAGCATCACGGGGAGCAGGAGCTGACATGACGCCCTGTGATCCAGGCCAGAAGCCAGCAAATGGCACCCTCCCTCCCCCTGCCTCAAACGCACAGTCCTCACTACAAAGTCCAACCCTCCTTGTGGAAAACCAGCTCCACAGCCTCGTCCACATCATTCACAATGTGGGACGCCTCCATAAGCCCTGGACTAAAGCTGAAGTCCCGGTGCCCATGGAAGGGAGGCTTCTCTCCTCCCTGAGCAGGCTCTGTGGACCCTGGGGCCTTGGGACTGTACACGCCAGTGCACACCAGGATGGAGGCACAGCTCTGGGTTGCTGAGGGCTGCTGCTTCCACAGACCACTGGCCTCCAGCTCCTCTGCCCCCTCATGCTTCACCATCTGCAGGTACTGGTTGAACAGGTTGGCACCGTAGACATCAGACATAGGGTTATCACTGGCAGGGGCAGCCATACCGGAAAAGGAAAGAGGAGAAAACCCAAGTTTAGTGTTGTAAGGCACAGAGAGCACAGGACAATTGTGGGGCAAGGGGGGTGCATTAAACACAGGGAGACAAGGCGGATGGGAGGGGTAGGGAGAGAGGGAAGGGGAGGTTCTGAAAGGGTTGAGGAGATGGAAAGAGCTTACCCTACAGCATACAGCTTCTGGATGGGGGCAGCCCAGCCCCGCCTCTCTGCCTGCTGCCTGATCAGTTCCTCCGCATATTGGTAAGTGAGGATGCTGGGTTTGCCCATCAGGCCCTTGTATCTCAGCTCTTTGCCTGTCACTTTGTGGTAAATGGTTTCCAGGCACAACAGAAAGGTGCCGTGGCCAAACCTGCCAGAGAAGACAGCTCAGCAGCTCAGTCTTCCCTCCCTGGGCTCTTCCAGGCCACCTGCCATTCTCTAAGCAGCACCCTTCCACTCCCCCAGTGGTGACAGGTCAAAATGAAATTACTTCTAGTAAGAACTACATTTATTGCATACATTTATGCCCTGCTGTTATCTAATAACATTTATTGAGCACTGTTCTAACACTGAAGATGCATATCACATTTAATTCTCAGAAAAACTCTATGAGATTATTGTTCTCATTTTACAAATGAGGAAACTGAGGCATAAAGAGATTAAGTAACTTGCCCAAGATGGTAGCATTAGGATTATACCCCAGGCATTAGGACTCCAAAAAGTTTAAATTCTGTTTTAGATTTGTGGCAGACTACTGGTTGTCATTCTCCCCTTCTTTCTTGGTGCCAATTTTTAGCTAAGCATAGTGCTACCAGGTGTAAAACTATATTCCCTTCCTCCTCTGAAGCTGGGTGTACAGCCATGTGACTGCGCTATAGCCAGAGTGAATGAAATTAGAAGTGCTGGGCTAAACTTCTAGGAAGTATCCTTAAATTAGGGAGGCAATGCTCTTCTTTACCCTCCCCTGTTCCTTCCTGCTGCCTGGAATGCTGATACGATGGCTGACGTTCAGGCAGCCATTTTGCATTATATAGTAAAGGGCTAAGGATTGCACAGCAGGAAGACAGAGGTAGATGCCTGTGTCCCTGACAGATGGAGCTTCCATACAAGACTTGGACTGCCTACTCCAAACTTATTTTACATGAGAAAGAAACTTCTATCTTCTTTAAGATACTTTTGTTTTGGGTTTTCATCCCTTGCCACTAAACCAAATCTGAACGGGTATTGCACAATATATTAAAGTTATATTTGTGTCATTCATTTATGCAATAAATTCTATTTTCAATTTTTAAGTTACTGAATGAAAGATTAATCTCAAATCTGGTTTATAGCTCAGCCAGCACGGCTCAGCAACCGAGCATCAAACTATGATCCAGACGATCGCGGTTCAATTCCCAGTCAGGGCACATGCCCAGGATTCGCGCTGAATCCCCAGTAGGGGGCGCATAAGAGGCAGCCAATCAATGATTCTCTCATCATTGATGTTTCTATCTTTCCCTTTCGCTCTCCCTTCCTCCCTCTGAAATCAATAAAGATATGTATTTTTTTAAAAATCTGGTTTATAAATTGAAATTTGCCTCTTACTATTCAATTCACAGCCTATATAACCAAACCCCCTTCACCTAGTGTCAGCATACCCTAACTCTAGGAAAAATAATTCAGGAAAAACACCTAACTTCAAGCTACAGAAAAATACTTGAAAAGTAATGAGAGAGAACACTGTAATCCCCATCTCTTATGGCTATTGAGTGGTGTGACTTGAGGCAGTGTTGGGCCCTGCTGCCCTATTGATAGATAACACACCCAGATCACTGGGAGTCATGGGCAGGGAAGAAAACTCTAGACTTTGGCCTTGCAGATAAGAGCACCCAAACAGTACACAGCAGCAGTCAGCTGCCCTTCCAGTAAGGCACCTTCAGGGCCAGAAAAAGGACTGCCTATCCTGTGCCCAACCTAAGAAAAGGACAGGACAGGTGAGCTCTATACATAGTTGCGCAGGTAATGTGTGAGCTGCTCACTACCCGGGTACCTTTGAGAAAGTAACTTATCCACTGGGTCTCTGTTCTCTGGTCTATACAAACATCAGAACAATTCTTTCTTTCCCCTGCCCCTACGTTTTAAGGGCAAAAGGAAACAAAGATGTGAAATAATCAATGTACAAGGTGAAGGCAAGGAAGGAAGAGCAGTTGAACAATTTGCACTGATACACCTCAGAAGCTGACAGTTTGTGTTCCTCTAGTCAAAATGAACATATTCTGTTAAGATTCTGGAGGGCAAAGGTTGTTTGTTAAAAATCATCTCAATACATCTTCAGTGAACAGTAAGCTGCAGTTTTCATTTGATAATTAGTATATAAAGTGACTCTTGACCACCACCACCCAGAAGGCCAAGATACTATGGCAACTACAGGGCCTACCCAGGTACAGGTCTGAGAGTCCCCAAATATGAAATGACAGTGGGAAACTGTCAGCAGGACTGCTCAGGCAACACCTGAAAATGGACCACCACGGTCAAGGCCAGGGACTATGTCCTCACCTGGGCATCTTGGCTTCAGCCATCCAAAGAAGATCCATGTTACTGGCCAGGACAGGGAGATGGGGATAGGGAGCCGTCGCCAGACCAGTCCCAGGGTTCCCATTGCTGAGAAGGACATCCATGATCAGCTGCAAGCTTGTCTCCCAGCGTACTGGCTCCCCAAGGAGGAGCACCCCTTTAAAGAGCAAAGGCGAAGGGGTAAGGGTGCAGAGCACTCAGCCTGCCCTCTATGGTGGGTGGGAGGAAGGCCCTCAGAAGACCAGCTGAGGCCACCCAACCACAAGCTCTTCCTCCACAGTACACTCACCCTGGCAAGGGCATGGTTTCCTGAACAGCCTTGAAAGAGCCACTCATTTATTTACCCAAGGTGAACAAAGCCCAGGGCCCAGGAAAGTACCTCCTAAGGGCTCCCAATATCATTGTGTCCACCAAACTTCACAGAAGTTAAAAACAAGACAAGCAATAGCAAGTCTCAGGCCCATTTCCTCCTGCTGACTGATATTCTCCCCACCACCTCACCCATAGATACTTGGCAAAGTGCTCACCTTCCTCAGCCACTTCTCTCTGCGCCCCAGGAGCCAATAAACCTAACAGCTAAGAGAGTGGGATACAGAGTGATAGAGACCTGAATTCCAAGGCTGACTGTGCCAATTTTCCTTTGATTGTGGGCAAGTTATTTACCTTCTATAAGCCTCAGCTTCTTCAACTACACAATAACAACACCTACTATTGTTATGAAAATAAAAATGAGATATAATAAAGCACTTAACCCGGGCTGGACACATAGTACTCAACAAATGGAAGCTCCAATATCAGCTATGAGACCAATGAGTTGAATCACTGCCCCCTAGGGAGGTGTTCTGGAAGCTGGAGGATATTTTTTAATCATCACAATGACTGACACTTAGTGGTGAAGACTGTAGGAGATGGCCAGGGATGCTAGACACTCAGGACAGTCCTGTTCAATAAAAAACTGCTAATTTCTATAAACATTTGAGTCCCCCATCTGGTATTCATGTAGGTAAACAACCTGTTAATAATTAATGAGCCTAAACCCTAATTCCATTCCACATGTAAACACAAAGTATTTTTTGGTAGTTATAATAAACACTGATTTTTCCAAAATATGTAACTATCACATAAATCAAGAGAAGGCTGTACTTTATTTGTTTTCAAAATTTTACCAGGAGTTTAGTGCCTATTTTGCAAAATCACTTCGCCAGTGACAATACTGCCCCTAATTTCTGAGTCACCAGTAAAGCACACCTATATCACACCTATAAACTGTGTTTATAGCTGTAATATTCATGATGATTCTATATTTGGTTCAATCAATTCACTACTTCATTATGTCTTTTTGGATAATTATTACATATTGAAATACATATTACCTTACTAAAATTTTTCCCTTTATTTCTCCCTATTACAATTATATTAAACTAATTAATTTTAACATATGTGTATAGAAAGATATTTATCTATGAATTTCATTTCAGGTTAGTAAAGGAGACACTAAAATATTTTCGTTATACAAGGAGAGAACTGGGTTTAATGGGGCTAAGGAACACTGACTGGATTACCCCTAGGTACCTTTCTACTCTAAGATTTTCTAAGCTTATGATTTTTCTGGAATAATAACACAAGTGATATGGAGAAGGAAAGATTAACAACACATATCTCAGAGGTAATGAGTGGCAGATCCAACACCAGAACCCAGGTGACCTAATGTTCAATGCCCCCTGGCTACAAGAGCCTGGAGGGACTGAAAGGAGAAAGAACCACCTAGCCCCATGCCCACACAAGGAGAGGACCTCATTACCTTCAATGGTGGGGAAGTCATTCCTTGGAAGGGGCTGCCAAGAGACAAAGAACAAGCCTATCAATGCAATGATTACTTTCCATTACCAGACAATCACACACTGGTTTCCAAGGGTGGGTGGGAGGAAAGATACATTCCAGACAGGATCAAAGACTACCCCCATGGTGTAGCCCAAGCTGAGGAGAAGCCAAATAGGAATGAGGAAGAAGATTCATGAAGAGAGAATGACCAGGCTGGTCACAGAACAGGTTGAGGAATACCACATACAAAGATCAGCTAGGCCCCGCTGGGCATGGCTCAGTGGTTGAGCATCGACCTAAGATCCAGGAGATCGCAGTTCAATTCCTAGTCAGGGCACATGCCCAGGTTGCGGGCTCGATCCCCAATGTGGGGCATGCAGGAGGCAGCTGATCAATGACTCTCTCATCATTGATGTTTCTATCACTCTCTCCCTCTCTCTCTGAAATCAATAAAGATATATAATATAAAAAAAAAAAGTCAGCTACGAAGAAAGGCTGGTCAGCTGTCTTTCTCCAGCAAGGACAGGAAACAAGACATGGGCCAAGCAAGAGTCTAGAATCAGATAGCTAAAGAGGAAGGTGAGCCTATGGAGAAAAAGGAGGCCATCAGGGTGTGATGGACCATTTCTCTCAATGTTGGATTAGGAGGCAGGAGCTTTCATGCTGCGAACCACTTCCATTCCTTCTCCAGACTATTATAGTCTTGTGCCTGCCACTAATCAGCTATGTGACCTGGAGTAAGTCACTTCCCCTGTGTGAGGCTCAGTCTCTGAGTTGTTCTAAGATCTGTTTCAATCCTGACATTCTGGTTCTCCACATGGTTCTAGGAGACAGCTCTCAAAGGCAATAAAGGGCTCTATTTTAATTGGAAAGCTCTGGAGGAAGGACTAAAGCTATAAAAGTAAATAAAGTTTATCTGTTTATAACACATTTCATCACATTTTGATAGTGGTCTGACTTAAAAAATAGGCTATATGATATAAATATATAGAGTTGACATAAAAAAGAGGACCAGGGTCAGTCACACACTATGGAGGATCAATGAGAGACCCTGTGACTACTGATCAGAAAAGATAATCAAACCAGTGGTTCAAATATGAGCTGAACCCAAAGGAAACACAGCAGACACTTAGAACTGCCAGTTACTTTTATAAGCAGGCTGCTTCTCACAAGGATATTGCATCAGGATAAAGTAGAACAGTGAAGAATTTAACAAAGGTTAATGATTCTCCCAGACAATACTGGGAAAGCCAGCTGGTAAAATACAAAGCTACTAACTGGAGGAGATGCCAGGGCTCTGAAAGGGTTCTCAGCTAATCACAAACAAGGCAGAAAGAAAAATCCTTAGGAGTACGTGGCTCCTCTGAGCCATTCTGTATATGTGGGGAACAAATCCTTGCCAGATGTGCCTCTCTAAGAAGGCAGCTCTGCAAAACACAGACAAGTTGCAGCTCTAAGGGGGAGAGGTTGCGGGATCAGCAAGAGGAGCCCACGAAGGAGTAAGGAAGAGGACATAATTAAACACGAGACCCCAGGTGTGTTCTCCTTATTACCGTGGTCTTTGGCCGCCGCTGGAGATCCACCATGTCAAGCACAGGGAAGGCCATCCGCAGCTCGTCCACAGTAACCACATTCTTGAAGCCCAGTCTAGAGCAAGATCAGGGAAACAAAGCTGGACAGTTCTGGGGAGAAGATTTCTTTAAAGGGAGAGGAACAGCCCGGCCGGGCGTGGCTCAGCGGTTGAGGGTCGACCTAGGATCCAGGCGATCAGGGTTTGATTCCTGGTCAGGGCACATGCCTGGGTTGTGGGCTCGATCAATGACTCTTTCATCATTGATGTTTCTATCTCTCTCTCTCCCTCATCTTTCCTCTCTCTGAAATCAATAAAGATATATTTTTTAAAAATAAAATTAAAAATAAATAAATAAAGGGAGGGGAACAAACCCAGAGCTGATCAAACTAGTCTACCCAATCCCCAGACAGGAGTGAACCAATAAGTCCAGACAGACCCCAGCAGGGCCAACACCAATCCTGAAAGTGCTGACCGGCAGAGCAGGGTTGTGTCCCTCCAAAGCAATACACCTGGGCATACTCTAGGTGCCAGATCCTACACTGGGCAATACCAGGGTACAAGGCATACAAGAACCTCTGTCCTCAAGAAGCTCACCACCTGCCCAAAGCCCATCACAGCCAGCACTCTTGTGAAGTGCTGCTACTATGTGCCACGGAGTTCAGAAAAGGCGACTGCTCAGTGGCCTCAATAGTTGGGCAAAGGGCCTGGAGAAGCTAGACTTCAGTTGAAGCTTTAAAATGAATTGGATTCCACCAGGATGGGGAGGCCATGGGGAGAGGTAAGCCAGCTCAGCTTAGCTCTCTAAGACCTGACTCCATTTTCCTGTCCTTAATTCCCACTTGCAATCTTAACTGGCCATGGTTTCAGATTACTCTCAAAATGAATTTTCCAAAAATGATGCTTCCATCAGATCACCACATTAGCAATAAACCTGCAGACTCCCCACCACCCTCTTAATAAATTCACTTACTTCCTGCATTTACTTCTGCAGTTTCCTACCTCTAGCACTAACCTTCCGGTCTTTATTTTCCACCCTGTCCCATTCCAATCTTCTGTTTCAGGGATCCTCACCATCCCTTCTCTTTACAGCCTCCTTAGCTACTGCCTCTGCATGGAAAACCTGAAACTTCTCCTGTGGCACAGCCATGTCCCTCCATGAGGCCCCAAGAAATCCTGCTCCAAGGATGTTCCTGTCCCCACCTGTGATACCCAGAACTTATACTGCTCGTTTAAGTCTTTAATCCCATACCATCTGAAATATTCCTGCATTGTGTATGGGTGTGTTATTCCTGCCTCAAGTATGAGCCCTTTGGTTAAATCGCAGTCCCCACTGTGCTTCTCCTGGCCCCTGTCCCTTTGAGCCTACAGCACAGTGCTGGTACACAGGGAGTGCTGGACAGGTCTGCAAGAGCAGCAAATAAATAAGCTGCTTGAGAACAGAGACAATCTTCTGTCTTTTGAATGTGCACATAGCCCAAAGGATGACTTCATTGTAGATACTTAATTAACATTTCAGATAAGTTGACTGAGGACCATGAAGAACAGCCAAACCTAATTACAGAATCACCTAGTTTCCTTTTTTAAAATACAGATTGCTAATTTTTATCTCAGACCTAGTAACATAAGACTCTCCAGGAATCTGTATTTTCAGCTTTCCAGAAGGTTCTGATGCAGTGGGCTGGCTTTTAGAAAGCACCAGACACCAGGACTGGCCACACCTGAGGGCTGTACTCCCTCCTTCAAGATTCCACCACACACCCAATAAGGCCTGGAACCCAAGGCCCAGCAAGCCTCATGATGGTCCCCCCTCAGCAATGGGAGGAAAGGCCCCAGTCCTGCCCCTTCCTCTTCAGTCAGAGGGAGAAGCACCAAAAGGATACACTTGGGCATTTTCCACCACGGGTCCCTGCCCAGACACTAGCATCCGCTTTCCATGATATTTTGAGAAGAGCTTCAAGGGACTGTGAGAAAGAATAACTTGATCTGGCTCCACCTGTAGGGACAGGCAAGAGACAGGAGAGACGAGAAAGACACATAGTTGAAGGAAAATAATAGGAGATAAATGGCAGCTTCTTTCGCCCAGGAAGGAAAAAAACTGCCCAGAAAAAGTAGGGGGGAGTGGAAGCCCCGCTTCCTAGCTCCTAGAATCTATCCAAACAGATGTAAGAACCACCAGTCTAATTTGGCTCTTGCCACACAAAACAAGCAAGTAGTGCCCTGGCCAGTGTTGCTCAGTGGTAAAGTGTCAGCCCATGCACCAAAGGGTCTCCGATTCAATTCCCAGCAATTCCCAGTCAAGGGCATGTACCTGGGTTGCAGGTTCAATCCCTGGGCCCGGTTGGGGCGTGTATCTCTCTCACATCGATGTTGATGTCTCTCTCTCTCTCTCTCTCTCTCTCTCTCGCTCTCCCTCTCCGTCCCTCCCTCCCACTCTCACTAAAAATCAATAGAAAAAATATCCTTGGGTGAGGGTTAACAACAACAAACAACAAGCAAGCAGGACATGCCATCAGTGGTGGGTTCTGACACTCATCAATCCTGTCCTGCTAAACTTTCCCTTTGAAAAGCATTGTCACAGAGCTCTGCCTCCAACTTTGACTTTCAACTCTCAGTTCTACTTAAAGACTTAGCCTTTTAACATTTATACTAATTACGACAATGCAGCCTTTTCTCAGAATGTTTTTAAAATCCTCTCTGAAAACCACAGAAGGGAACCAGTTTTATGCCTTTACTCCCTGCATTCATCCTCAAGTAGGGTCACCCCATCATCAATCAGCCACTTTATTTACTTTCTTGGTTCCAAGTACTCTTTCCCAAAACTACATCTACCCTCAACAAAGAATGAGTGTCAATGTGAGATACATGTGGAGTTGCAAGTGGGTGAAGAGACTGCTTTTGGGGGACAGCGCTCATTCACATGCATGCATCTTATTTATGAGAAACAAGGGCGGTTACTTCAGAGTCCCACCTGGTATACGGAGATTTAGAAAAATGCAACCCTCACCCTGGCCAGTGTGGCTCAGTTGGTTGAGCACCATCCCATGCACCAAGAGGTTGCCGGTTCAATTCCTGGTCAGGGCACATGCCCAGGGTTGTGGGCTCAATCCCCAGTAGGGAGCACGCAGGAAGCAGCCGATCAATGGTTCTCTCTCATTGATGTTTCTCTCTCTCCCTTCCTCTATTCTAAAGTCAATAAAAAACGTATTTAAAAAAAAAGAAAAATGTGACCCTTGCTTTCAAGGGGCTAACAATTCAAAAGAGACAACCCTGATGCCCAGAAGAAAAGAAATGGATACAAAGACAGTAGGCTGAACTGGCAATTCCATGGGCAGGATTTTTGTGCTCACCATGTATGTATATATAAAAAATGACCCTGTTGATGAGGCTCTACTAAAGAGGCTGGGCTTGAACTTCAAGTTATTTTTCCAGCAGGGTAGAAAGATTTGTACTGAAGCAACTGGCCATGCCCTTAGACTTATCAATAGTGTACTGCACCCCAAGAGAAAAGGCTTAGTCAGAGCTAGAGAAGAGGTTCCACTGGGAATCAGGTCCTTGAGCTTCCATGTCTCCAGCTGTCTCCTTACCTTGAAGCCCAGGAGGGCTGATAGCTCCTGGGCTTTACCTTGTTGTAAGATGTTCCCAGCATTCGTGACAAAGACCACAGGCACCCGCAGTTGCCCCTGGGCATTCACCAGCCTGCGGAAGGCTTTCAGAGCTGCAGGGATCACTCTATGGCCCCGCACCAGCACTCCATCGATGTCCAATAGGAACCCAAAGGTAGGCTGGCTCTGCAGAGGGGAAAAGAGAGCCACCACTGCCTGAGTGAAGAGGCACAGGGGAGGAAGGAAAAGACCCTTAAAAAGAGGGACTCAACATCATTCTCAGGTTGCCCAGGGCCTGAAACATAAAATGAGGACATGGAATTTCTGACAGAGCAAACCCATCGATAATAAAAGAATTAGCCCTTTTTCACGTATTTTTAAGCACATAACTATTTTGTTAAAAAGTATTTTTCCATAATGAATATAAAGGACTTTTTAAATTAGAAAATAGAAATTCAAAACATAATCCTTGCACTTTGAACACAACTAATTAATATTTTCCTTTTTTTTAAAATTTTATTTACTTATTTATTTTCAATCTTCACCCAAGGACATGCTTAAAAAGAGGGAGGGAGGGAAAGAGGGAGAGACACAGAAAGAGAGAGACATCAATGTAAGAGAGAAACATCCACTGGTTGCCTTCCATACGTGTCCCAGCTGGGAATCAAACCCGCAACTCAGGTATGTGCCCTGACGGGGAGTCAAACTGGCAACTTTTCAGTGCACAGGACAATGCTCCAACCAAATGAACCACTGCAGCCAGGCAAATATTTTCTTTTCATCTCCTTTTTCTATTCTTATTTATCATGTAGCTACACTATACTTTACATGTGCAATTTTTCATCTTGTTCTTTTTGCTTGACATACGAGCATTTTTGCCTATTATAATAGCCTTCATAATCATCTTTTAAAATTTTTATTATAACACACAGAGGTTTTTTTTTAACTACAGATATAAGATTTCTTGCCTCCTTCTTCCATCTACTGCTATTCCCTCTCTTGTATATTTTCCAGGAACTTTTTTATGGATATACAGTAACAATTTCTTATTGTTTAACTAACACACAAATGGCATTATGATGTATTTTCTATCTTTCCTTTTTTTAGCTTGTATGTTTTGGTTATCTTTCCATATCAATACACAGCTCGACCTCATAATCATCATTTCTGGCTCTACAATACACTGAGTGAATAATCCACTAACACTATGTTTCCCCTATTTTGGATATTTAAGGCTTTCTACATTTTTACTACTATAAATAATGCTATAAGGAACCTCTTTATGCTTACTGGTTTTTCCATATTATCAACTTTTCCTTGAGCTAGATTCTTAAAAGTAGGAGCAGTAAGTCAAAAAAGTGCAAATATTTTAACAACGTAACACATCCTGACAAACTGTTTTCCAAAAACATACATCAACTTATGTGGCCACTGGTAATGCATTTTACCCTTGCCAATAATGACTATCAAATGTATCAAAGAATTTGTTAATTATCAAACATCTTAATTTAAAAGTTAAAAAAACAGTATCTCATCTCAATCTATATTCCTTGGATTCTTAAAAATATCATTTCATTTCTTATTTCATAAACTGTTAACATATGACATGTTTTCAATTGTCCAAAAGAAATCCAACCTAACCTGTTTGCTAGTCTCCTTTTTTTGGTGCCAAGTTATGCCATTCTTATTTGTGCATAGGGTTCCTCTGGGAGGATCAATCAAAAGCAGACATACTGTATTCCGGCCCTTCACTTTAGCTGGGGTGAAAAAACGAACAACTAGTCTAGGAAACACAAACTCACTAAAACTGAAGCATTTTCACAAGTGCAAATCAATCCTAAGTATTTAAGTTCTGAGTAAACAATTAAACAGAGGTAGGTTCTTAGAAGAGAATTTTGAGCTAGGCAACAAAAGATTTAAATATATGCATTCATTTAACATTTATCTATTGAGAGCCCATCAGCACCAGGCAGAAGTAGCTCTGAGACCCTGAGAAGACCCTGAGAGCCCAGAAGAGACCCTGAGAGCCTGCATAAGATGTACCTTACCCATCGCGGGTGGGGAGGATTGGCCATCACAGGACTGGCCAACATAAGGAGTCTGAAACAGGAAAGTGGCATCATCAGACTTATGCTGTTGAAAAATCTTGGCTGCAGAGTGAAGAATGAATGAGTGGGCTGAAGAGAGTCAAGTTGAAGGACACCAGCTGGGACTCACTGCAATCTAAGACAGAGATGATGGTGGTAGTTTTAACTAGGTGGTGGCAATAGGTATGGAAAGGATGAGGCAGATTATAGAAGGCAGAACAGCCAGGCCTGGTAATAATCAGATGCAGGGGAGGAGGGCAGAGACAAAGACACTCCATGCTCCTTTTGGCTTGGGAAGCTGGGTGGGTGGATGCTGGTATCATTCACTGACCCAAGGAACTCTGGAGGAGCTGCAGCTGGGAGGCCAGGAAGGGCAGGAGATATGTCCCACTTTGGACCTGTAGCACAGGCAAGAAGAGATATCAGCACTTGACAAAGTCCAGGAGATGAAAATGTGGAAGGTCTTTGTTTCCAGAGAACAGCTGAAACTTAGGAGGGAACAGAAGAGCCTGAGAAGCACAAGCAGAGTGAGAGCAAAAGTGCGGCTCACAGAGAACCAGGAAGAACATTACCATTTAAGGACAGGCCATGTAAGAGCCACCAGCAAAAGAACAAGGAGCAGCAATTAGCGTGAGGAGGAAAATCACGAGGGTGTGGGATCAAGGAAGCTGAGACATGAGTTTTTGGAACAAGGAAAATAGAAAATGGAGTTGATATAGTTGTATTTAACCTAGTTATTAATAACAGGAAAGGAGTAAAGGGAAAGCCAAATATTATAGGCATGTCATTTGAGCAGCTTCACCAGGAAGTTGCAGCTTTACACTCTCCAGGGAGCACCAGTCCATTCCCCATAGATGGCTGGGGGAAAGAGACTGGATGGGGGTAGGTAGATGCACACCCAGTCAAGTTGGGAGGACTAGAGAAGGTACTTGCCTGTCAGTCACACCTGGGAAAAGGCCACTGGCCAGAATGGCGATGGCCACTTGCAAGTGTGGGAAGATTTGGGATACTTAATTCCCTGAGCAAAGTTCACTCTTTTGATTTCTCTTGGGCTCTCTTGGTTGATTCCTGGCTTGAGGGGCTATCGCTCCTGTTTCCTGGCATTCTCCCGTGAGGCCCATGGCCATGTGGACCCACACATGCAATGGACTAATGGACTGTAACTAGCCTGATGCTGAACTGGACCCAGCTGCAACATGGAACAGAAACTCTGGACAATGGCTTTGATTTTAGCTCTACTGAAGCCCCAGTTACACTTCTTCTATAATTGGACTAAGGGAAATGGGACTTTGGAAACTCAGGGATGTAATTCCATGCAAATAAAAATCACTCATTCCCCACCCCCACGTATGAGTCTCAGAAAATTCTTTTTCTCGAGATATAAGAACTCCACCCCCAACACTCAGTGGAGAAAGGGATACCCCACTTCTACCAAAACCAGAGTGACTGCAAAGCAATGGTCCCATCTTCCCTCCTCTGAACAGGAAAGACCACCCAGGGAAGGGTCTTCTAGCTCTTTCACACTAGCGTCAGCAGAGCCTCCCAGCCTTAGACAATGACAGCTCCAGTGCAAAGTTGGAAGGTGGGAAGGGATATTGGAAAAATAGGAGGGCAGGACCTGAAGATGGTGGCACTGTGAGAAGCAGCAGAGTGCCCCCGCTCCCAGCCATGGACTCGATTTACTCCTAAAACCCTACACAACCAGCTTGAAAAAACCAGAGAAACACACCTGAGTGGACAGAGTGCGAGTGGGGAGCACTAAAGACACATCACGGAGTCCGGTAAGAGGGGGGGGGCGTAGGAAGGGGGAGACTCCCTGAAGCCTGTGCTGGGCTCCGAGCCCAGAGGCTTGGAGGCTGCAAAGCTCCCTCCCCTCAAGAGTGCGGAGGGCATCCAAGAGCGGGGACCCCCACACTCAGAGCAAAGAGGGGAAGGAGCGCCCTGCGCACAGGGCAGGGGATCTCAGGGGAGCGTTGAGTCTGAGAGGGGATAACACCTTCCTAGGAAACAAAGCCTCTAGTCCCGGCTGTGACCAGCGTCTGGCGCTCGGGGTGCCGACCATAGGGAAGGCTGTCCCAAGGGCTGTGGCACTCAAGTGGTAAGGAACCAGAGGACTGCGCTGAGTAGCCGCACACGGGGACCCTCTGCCTCCCTGAGGGGCATTGTGTTGAGCCCCAGAAGCACGGAATCTGCGAGGTGCGGGGGAGGGGAGGAGCCCTCCCCGCCCTGAGCTCAAGGTGCCTGGAGGCTGGGACCTGCGACCAGCCCTGAGGGGCGCCGTGGTGGCGCGTGAAGCCACTCCAGTTTTGCTGAGACCAGCAGCGCAGGGAGCTGTGTGGAGCTGACTTTGGGTCCCCTCCCGCTGGGTGCCTTGGAGCGAGGGCGGCGGGACCCTGCAGAGCGGACTCTCGGCCTGAGTGTTGTTTTGTGCATTTGCAATTTTGATCGCAGAACCGGTTCCCACCTTCCCCGCTGGCACTGCACCGACAGACCAGTGTAGGCTGGGGTCAGGAGTCTGCACTGGAGACGGTCTGAGGGGCGGGCCTGGTGCAACCAGCCAACCAGAGCTGAGCAGGGAGGGGTGGAGACCACCGACCTCTTCAGCAGTCAGGAGCACCCCCTCCCAACAGGAAAGGGGCAGGTACCGCTCACGGAAGCCCCAGACATCCCCCAGGGCACAGTCCTGAGGGGGAAGGGAGAGCAGCTAACAGGAGGAATTTATAAGAATAAGATTCTCAGGGACTGTTTGGGAACTGGAGGAAATGCTGAAAACCCCTGCAGGGGGCTGGGCAGGCAAAGGGCCCACCAGAAGGTGTTTTTAATCGGACCCACTGAGCCCAGGCTGCTGAAACGGCCCAGACAGAAAAGGCAACAGGCTGAAATCAATCTGAAGCTGCAGCAGACCAAAGCCTGGGGAACTAGAATCAGAGGACAGGATAGGGACTGAGGAGTTGGCGGTGAAGCAGAGACTAACCCCCGCAGAATGAGTGCCTGACAGCAACACCTCTAGGGGCAGTGATACCCTGAGCTACACTAGCCACCCTGCACCCTAAAGACTCTACAGAAGACTCTGGAGTAAGACCAGGCAACTACAAGATTGCAAAATAGCTGACAAGAGGAGGTGGTCCACGGAGACACTCAGATCAACCATCTACCTAAGGCCACCAGAGCCAAACCTAGACGACGCATCACACTGGGTGATACACAAGTACCTACCAGGAGAACTGAAATCAGGACACAAAACAGTGTCCCTCGGACAACATAAGTTGCCCAGAAAAAAAAAGCCTCACCTGATTGACTACCTTTTTTTTTTCTTTTTTTTTTTCTGCTGGGTTTTTTTTTTTCTTTTGTATGGTTTTGTTTCTTTGGTTTTGGGGACTTTTTTGTTTGTTTTTTGTTTGTGGGCTTGTTTATTTTTTCTCTTTTTTCCTTAGGAAGAAAAGAAAGGGGAGAAAACCTGTTTTCTCTTCTTTTTTAAATTTTATAATAATTTTTTTTTCTACATTTTTTTTAAACTAATTTTTTTTTTTCTTTTCTCCTTTTTATAAAAGAATTTTGTTTTGCTTTGCTTGTTTTTCAGTTTTGTTTTGGATAGTTGCTTTGTTTTCTTGTATCCTTACTTCTAATATCAAGACTTTCTTGATATCCCTGCTCAACAACTGGGACTTTATCATTATATCCAAGTTTACTGCTTCCCTCTATAGTTTCCCTCAAATCTGTTACTGGACTCCCTCCCTGCAGGGGCTTTATCTCTCTCTCCTCTCAATCCATTGGCATAACGTTTTTCTTCTGTTTCTTTTTTCTTTTTCTACTTTTCTTTCATTCTTTCATTAGGCTCCCTTCTGTCTTCCTGTCTGATTGTTAGTTTCTCCTATTCTCCTTATTGTATTTTTGTTTTATCATTTTCAACTACTATCCTATTTCTATTCTCTCCCTTAATTCTTTGCTGGCCCTTCTTTCAGAATATTTTCTCTGCTTCTATTACCTCCCAGTAGCTTCTCTATTTTTTACATTTTAGTTTATTATTAGTTTCTAAATTTTCACCAGTATCAACAACTATATACATCTCTCTCTCTCTAAGCGATACTTTTCTTTTTCTCTCTTTTTTTTTCCTGTATGTGTGTGGGGGGGGGTGTGTGTGTGTTGTGTTCTCCCTTCACTCTCCCAGTTCTATTTTCACGTGAGTTATTTTCATTGTTACTGTCAAGATATTTTGTAAAATACCTCTTGTTTCCTGGAATTTTAGTTGTGCATTGGCCTGCCTTGCCAGCACCTNCAGCACCCGTACAACAGCTTACAGGTCGAGGTTGGGGCTGTGACACAGTTAGCCAGCCTGAGAGAAGAGTCCTCCCAAGGACTGATCAACAACAATCTAGACCCAACCACAACAGGAGAACATAAAGAAACCACAAAAGGGGCACCCACAAGAGGGTCACGACTAGAGCAAAGAGCTCAGAGGTATAAGGAAAACACACCTCTGGGCTCCACTGGANGGAGCAAAAAGCTCAGAGGTATAAGGGAAACATACCTCTGGGCTCCACTGGACCCACAAGACAAAATCCCACCCCACAAGACTGGGGGTCAGCAAATATATCTAATATATAGATACAAACACTAAGACCTACCAAAATGGGGAGTCAAAGAAACAACCCCCAAATTAAAGACAAGGAAACATCACCCGAAAAAGACTTTGATGAGATGGAGTTTAGCAAGCTGTCAGAAACGGAGTTCAGAGTATGGATGATGAAGATGTTCAAGGAACTTAAGAAGACACTAGATGATAAGATCGAGGACCTTAGTGAAAATATGAAAAAGGAGATACATACCATAAATAAAACTCAGACAGAGATAAAGAATGTTGTATCTGATATCAAGAATGCACTGGAAGGAATTAAAAGCAGGCTCAATGAAGCAGAAGATAGAATAAGTGACTTAGAAGACAAGGTAGAATCCCACAATCAGAGCAGCAAAAAGCAAAATCACTTAAAAAACATGAGGACAGTCTAAGGGAACTTTGGGATAACATTAATCGAAAAAACATTCACATTATAGGAGTGCCAGAGGGGGAGGAAAGAGAACAAGGGATAGAGAACTTGATGGAGGAAATAATTATAGAAAACTTCCCTAGGCTGTCGAAGGAGAAAGCCACACCAGCTCAGGAAGCACAGAGGG